GGAGACTGGAAGAAATCTGACCAAAGTTATGGATGACAGGATCCTGGGGTCCGATTCAGAGGTCTCATATCAAGCCTACCAATGACATTCAGTGGTCTTCAATGAAGTAAAGGCTTTGAAAAGGACAAAAATTAATGCTTTCTAGGCCTCACTCTTTACTGGGTGGAGGATAAATGTGGACACAGAAGGATCCACAGAAGTCTATAGTTTTCTTTGTGTGTGTGTGTTATGAACCTTCAAGTCTGTTTCTGACTTACGGCTAAGGCAATCCTATCATGGGCTTCTCCTGGGAAGATTTGTTGGAGGTGGTTTGCCATTGCCTCCCCCTGAGGCTGAGAGGATGTGGCTTGCTGAAGGTCACCAGTGGGTTTCATGGCTGAACTGAGATTCGAACCCTGGTCTCCCGAGTCATAGTCAAACACTCAAATCACTATGCTACCGTGGCTTGCTAATAGTTTTCTTTACTTTCTCTGTATGTGGGAAAGCAGATGTTAATTCAGTATGTTTAACAGATTGTCATTATTCCATTTTGAGAGGTTTTAATGTTAAGGCTAAATCCTGTTGTTAGTCCCAGCTAAAGTGGACCCATTAAATCAATGAGAATTTGATATGTCAACACATTCTCTAATTAGGGCCAACTTTGGATTTAGGCCACATGCTTTAACCAATTTAACCATCTTAAATTCAGCTTCCATTTTTAGCAAGGCCTTCTTTAAATACTGCAGACTAAATCCAATGCTTGTCTCAACTACACTAGACCCATTGAAATCCATGGGTTTTATGTGAATGGTGCCTGGCAAGTCCCATTCATTTTAATGGGTATGATCTGGTTGGGACTAGCATTGAATTTAAATCAATGTCAGGAAGAAGAAAAAAATTGCAGCCTTACCAATTAATGCTAACATTTCAATGATTCATTGAGTGCCCCGACCTTTATTCCCTTGGTCTTTGAAAACTGGCTATATTTAGTGCTTTTTGGAGATAGCGTGGGTAAAATGGATGATTATGTCTTTCAAAAAATATGAGTTAAAGTGTACATGGAGAAATTGCAAAACAAGGACTGCCACAGTCACAACTCAAAGGTCAACTTAAAGAACATTAGGAATGATATCATTCCTGCCCCGCCATCTCATTTGAAAGATAATGTTCTTTCAGATGGAGGGTGTTTCTATCCCCCCATTGTCCCGGATATCTAAAATAAATAATATCAATGTTAATCAGTTTTATTATATGTCGAAGACTGCTAGATAACATTGAATTATTAAATAAGCCCAGATAATTGATAAAAAACTTCAAGAAATTCAAATCAGTAATTTGTTATTTATTTAATTACCGGTACTTATTTATTTATAAAGGCTACACTTTACACTTGTATTTGCTGAAAATGTTAACAAAAGCTGAAGCAGCTTGGTGTTTTAGCTACCAACAGAATGACTTTCAATCTGTTGGTGAATAATTAACAAATTGAGGTAATTCAATTAATAGAATATTTCCAAGTTTTATTTTACTATATCTCCGCAATGAATTGGAAACTTCTAAAAGCACAGTCACCTTACAAAGTGAGTGAATGGCTACTGCGTCTCCATAAAGTCAGGCTTTTCATCCACTATTGTAATGTAGAAGAATAGCAATTAAACATATGCCATTTAAGTAGTGAGTTTTCCCAAAAGGAAAGATGGAATATGAATAAAGTGAATAAATCAAAATATTTATCCTTTTTGACACCTGGGTTAAAATGTTAATATTTTCACTAATGCTCGGAATTGCACCTGTGTTCCTGGTGAAAGAACAATTGGCTTGACACCTCCTAATGAGATGAAATGGAGATATAGTAGCCCCTCTGTTTTTGTGGGGATCTGTTCTGGACCACCTCCACCCCGGCGAAAATGGAAACTCACTAATAATCAAACCTTATTGGCTTGAATAGCCGTGTGTCCTGCGTGCAGCCGTGCGCATGCGTCATGGGCACGCGCCACTTAATTTAACAGAGCTTGCCCCTCCATGAATAATCAAGACTGCAGATTTCAAGTCCACAAAAATGGAGGTGTGAGTGTATTTGGTTATTTTGTAATTTCCATACTGTCACTGTATCATACAGGTTTTCACATATAAACATATGTTTTGTTAAACTGCTGTTCTATTCCCTCTGTGAGCTTAGAAAGTTTCCTCTTTTGAATGGAAAGCAGGATTTGGGGAGTTTTAGTAAACAAAAAACAACTTTGCCAAGGGCATCTACTTACATTAATTGATTGGTATTTAATTTCCGAATCGGGATGTACAGTATTGTGCAGTAAGTGAAGGAAAGCTAAAACCAACCATATCGTCCTTCCCCTCCACCCCATCTTTGGGAGAGAATTTTTCCTTCTTCCCAAACAGTCATGAGGGCAGATAGTGCTCTGTTTAAACTGCTTTATCTGCATTTCTTTCTATAGAACATGATATAGCTTTCAGTGCACCTTCTTAACAGTTTTGTTTGTTGGCTTCCTGGTAAATTATTAGTCTTTCCAGTGGAACAGTCTCTTATATCTGTGCTGAGTGATGAATTTGGCTTTCACACAGAACAAAGATGTGGCTCTTCATCGTAGTGACAAGCTTGATCCAAGGTCTTGTAACTTCAGAAATATTTCTAAAGAGAAATGTGGATCCAGAGACAGCTATGAATATTGTAAGTTATTTATGCTTTGATTTTATTGTATCCCTTCTAAGGCTTTTTTTAAAGACTTTATTACTGCTAAAATGCATGACACCCAATCTTTCCCATATTTGATTTTCTGCTGAAAATTAGGGTTGAAGGGAGCATGAAATAGTCACATATTATCTGTTTTAATTTCGTAACACACACGCATGCATGTGCATGTAAACATATATTGTGCACTTCCAGGATACTTTCATCACTCAGGTTGACTTGCTTCACTCAAAACAAAACAATCCCATTACTGATACATTTATTTGATTTTTATCTTACTTTGCAGTAGTTTCTTTAACATTTTTACAGCTGCCATTGTCCCTGGTATAGGCTAGCTGTAGAAATGTCTTTGTGTTCCATATTGTCTTTCAGATGTGGGGGGAAATATTCTAGACATCTTGTAGTGCATTCTCAGTCTTCCCAACTAAATCCTTGCTGCTTTTCTTTCTTCCAGAGTGAAATCATTTCCTTCAGAGGGTATCCCACTGAGGAATATGAAGTAGTGACAGATGATGGGTATATTCTCATTGTCAACAGAATCCCTCATGGGAAAATCAGTCAGCCGACCAAGGGTGAGTGTGGTGGAAAAAAGAGGTGTTTGTGTGTGGTGTGTGTGAATATATTGATATAAAAATGCTGAGCCAGTTATGCTGGCTGGAAGAACCTTGGTGTTTCAGTCAAAAAGGTATTGTGTCCAAGCTTTGTGCATACATTTAATAACGTAAACAAATAGTTTATTCCAGAAAAATGATTGCATCCTACAATGGAGAAATTTAGTTTATGAGAAGTCTTGCTAAGGAAGTAGTACAGGTGGCCCTCTGTATCCACTGATTCCTTATCCATAGATTCAACCATCAATGGCTTGAAGATATTTTAAAAAAATCAAAAAGCAAACCTTGATTTTGCCATTTTATATATACAATTATATTACATAATTGCATAAAGGTATATAATTACATTTTTACATTTTATATTATTACAATTTCCTGGGATGCAGTGGCTCAAGTGGTTAAAACACTGTCTCTGTCGATTGCAAGATCGGCAGGTTGGCAGTTCAAGGCCCGGGTGC